TTTGTGAATACAAGAAATGGGACATATGTGTATGGTACATACGGAGCATAGGCTCAACCATGATTAATCCACACCCAATAATCCATGTCATTTTATCATGCCCACTCTTCACTGCAATCTGCTACACTGCCAGTCCTCATCATTATTACATTGTTGTCACTTACATACTGTATACCCAGCCTCCGGTGATACACAGAGATGAAACTAATCCTTCTACATAGTTTGTACCTGTTTATCTGCTGCTTTCTCTTCTCTACAGCTGTTCAAAGTCCAGAATTTATACAGCTTTCTAAGCTTTCAAAAATCATGGGGTGGAGAGCTCAAGTTACACTCTACAGAGCTCACTGAGAGCTGATTGGATGGAAGAGATACACCCCCTTCACACATCACACAGGGACAGACCTGAGGCTGTCAACCACAAGCTGTGTGCTGGTGCTCCCCCTCCATCACCTTTTTACCTCTTGGTGTCAGGAAGAGCTGTCAGAAGTGATTCATGTTGATAGCAGAGGAAGGAGGCAGCAGTGAGAAATGACACTTAGTGCTTTAGATTGAGTACACACTATAGAGGGATATGCCTTGGACATATTTAATGTCTGAAGTTTACAATCACTTTAAAAGGTCTATTTATAAAAACAAATTCATAACACATGTGTACATGCTGCTTGAATTTTGGATGTAATTTCTCTAATAGAGCGAGACTCTCCACTGTCAGAATACACTGATCAGAGGCTGCTGCCGCTGCTGCTGACTAGCAAATGTTTTCCAACATTCCTGTTCCTTCTTAACTGGACAAATTTCGATCCATCTATGGCCAGCTTCAGAATTTGGTATTTTCCTTCACTTTCTGTCCAAGTGACATTGGTGATCAGGACAAATAGAGAGGAAGAATCTCCTCAGCAGGGACACAAAGAGCTATACAAATTCATGGGTTCTAACCATTCCCAACTTTATGCAAAACTTAAAGCGATTCTAACTTTTGTTTCTCTAAAAATAATAAACATAGTTACATAGATAGTCTGGCTGAAAAAAGACAAAAGTCCATCCAGTTCAACCATAAAAAAAAAAAATTATAATCCTACACCCACAGTTGATCCAGAGGAAGGCAAAAAAACCCAGCAAAGCATGATCCAATTTGCTCCTGCAGGAAAAAAAATTCCTTCCTGATCCCCCGAGAGGCAATCGGATATTCTCTGGGTCAACTTTACCTATAAATGTTAGTATCCAGTTATATTCTGTGTATCTAAGAAAGAATCCAGACCTTTTTAAAAGCAATCCACTGAGCTGGCCAGAACCAACTCTTGAGGGAGTCTATTCCACATTTTTTCACATCTCTTACTGTGAAGAACCCTTTCCGTATTTGGAGATTAAATTTCTATGTCTATAATTACCTGCTATGTGCAGTGGTTTTGCACAGAGCAGCCTGGATCCTTCTTTTCTGGTCCCCTGCAGGCTCTCCTGGCCCCTTCCTTCTGTCGAGTGACCCCACAGCAAGCAGCTTGCTATGGGGGCACCCGCTGCTCTGTGTGTCCATTTACACACACAGAGCTGCAGCTAGGCCATGCCCCCTCTCTCTTCTCATTGGCTCAGTGATTGTGATTGACAGCAGTGGAAGCCAATGGCTCCTGCTGCTGTCTCAGCCAATGAGTAGAGGGAGTCCCGGGATAGCCGAGACTCCAGTGCATATTGCTGGATTGAGAGAGAGCTTAGATGAGTAATGGGGGGGCTGGGGGGTGATGCTGCACACAAAATATTTTTTATAGAATTCATGAAGGTAAAAAAGCTTGAGCCTTTACAACCATTTTGATGTTCTCAGTCAGAGAAATGCCCCAGTCCTAGGTCGTGCTCCCTCTCTCTTCTCATGGGCTTACTGGTTTTGATTGACAGAAGTGGAAGCCAATGGCTCCCGTTACTGTCTCAGCCAATGAGGAGAGGGAGTCCCCGGGATAGCCGAGACTCCAGTGCACATCGCTGGACTGAAAGGGGGTTTAAGTGAATATTAGGAGGAGCTGGGGGGGGGGGGGGGATGCTGCACACAGAAGGTTTGCATGGAGGTAAAAAATGTTAAACCAGTTTAATGTTCTCAGTCAGAGAACTTCCCCAGTCCTAGGCCATTCCCCTTCCCTCTTCTCATTGGCTCACTGGCTATGATTGACAGCAGTGGAAGCCAATGGCTCCTGCTGCTGTCTCAGGCAACGAGGAGAGGGAGTCCCGGAATAGCCGAGACTCCAGTGCACATCGCTGGACTGAAGGGGTTAAGGTGAGTATTGGGGGGAGCTGGGGGGATGCTGCACACAGAAGGTTTGCATGAGGGTAAAAGACCTTGAGCCTTTACAACCACTTAACAAAAAAGTTTTGTCTTTAGATAGAATAGAAATGAATTTTGGTAGATTTGAATAACCACAGCCTCTAGCACGAGTCACTGGGTCACTGGCCATTCCTTCATTCGGAGAGTTTGATAGTCATAATCCCAGGACCTTTGCAGCGTATATTTACATCCAGACTTTCATCATCATACAAAGGTTTACCCCAGATTAGATCCAATGGTTTCTGTTTCCCAGCTTTATCAGCAGATACACTGAACTGGTTATTACTGTGTCAGCACAGTCACTTATCACAAGGATGTTGTACTTAAACAAAAGATTATGTTTTTGGGAATATTTTATCATTATATATATTTTTACAATAACATTGATAAAATTGATCTAAAGCTTAAAATGCTGAGACAAAACAAAATAAGCATCTTATTTACAATCAGCTAAAGTACAATGTACAAACTCCAACTCAGGAGTATACATTACATGATTTCACAGAAACATTCGTTATCGGGATCTGTAGCTCATATTCTCTCTAATCTTGGACCAATGAAACAAGATGCTATCTAGAAAGCTGTCAGAAGATAAGAGCAATAGCTATTAATGAGAGAGAAGTTGAGGAAATAAAAGTTGATGTGGGAGAAATCATATTTCCAAGGCTCCAAAATAGGAAATATATTTTTGTGAATCAAGAGTGTATACAATGTATATCATTAAAAAGGAAATTAAATGTGCCTAGGCACTGTTCTCAGTGACTGCCCAGGAGGAGCATGCTGGGCGAACAATGTCACTGTGATCTATTGTAGGCAAAGGATACATTTTCTCAGTTTCCTTTTGCCAGGAACTACTCCAAGCCGTCTAGTATTTTGGTTACTTATAAGGTGCGAATCAGTACCAGGCGTGGGACAACTAGACTGTATTGAGTGAATATTCACTGCAGCAATCCAATCATGTGAAAAGCATCTGCACAGGATTAGATATTCAAAGTGAAAAGATACGTATTTGTTTTTCATGTGAAGACTCTTAAAGTTTTACTAAACTTACAACAGTAAAATCAGTCTGTATCAGCAGTGAAGCATGCTTGGTATTTTCACTGTGGAACTTAAGGGGTTAATACTCTGCATTGTGTAAAAAGGATATTTGACCCTGTCTTCTCTGATCCTCCCCTTCTTCTACCATCCCCAATCCATCTGCTGATAGAACAGAGCCTTGGGGACACGCTGTACATGCTCAGTTTCGTGTGTATTGCTAAAGAGTTTTTTTTTTTTTTCTCTTGAGAGAGTGCATGTGATCAGCACAGTCCAGACAGAAGATCAGAAGTCCTGCAGCTGCATAGGACAATCAGGGGAGAATGAAAACTCCTCCAAGTACCACTTGCCCTCCAGTGGATTTACCTCCCTTACTGACCAGGCCATTTTTTGTGATACGGCACTTCATTACCTTAACCTCTCCACGCCAACGGTACGCAAATATGCGGCCTCTTGGCGGCTGGGTCTTGACGCCAAATGGTCAAATATTTGCCTACCATTTGTAAACAAACATGTGCTGAGAGTGCATAACCTGCGCGCTCCCAGCACATGTTGGTGTCCCACGGGAAGGTCTCGATCTCTCCTTGCGATCGAGACCTTTCCGGTCATGTGACACAATCACAGCAGTGACATAACCCTGAACCCCGCCTCCCGGGAGGCACCGGCGTGAAGGGGTTAACTGGCACAGTCATGCAATTCTGTACATAAATGAAATTTATGTAATTTTTTCCGCACAAATAGAGCTTTCTTTTGTTGGTATTTGATCACCTCTGCGTTTTTATTTTTTGCGCTATAAACAAAAAAAGACTGACAATTTTGAAAAAAAAAAAATATATTTTTGAATTTTTGTTATAAAACGTGTCCATAACGTGTCATAAATTTAGGCCAAAATGTATTCTGCTATGTCTTTGCTAAAAAAAAATCCAATACGTGTAAATTACTTGGTTTATGTGAAAGTTATAGCGTTCACAAATGGCGGTATATATACTGGAATTTTTTTTTTGTTATACTAGTAATGGCGGCCATCAGTGACTTATAGTGGGGAGTGCGGCGGGCATTCTGACACAGGGGGGAACTGACTAACTGCCACTGACATCCCCAGTGACACTAATACAGTGATCAATGCTAATAAAATGTACTGCCACTGTACTAATGACACTGGGCAGGAAGGGGTTAACTTCTAGCGTGATCAAAGGGTTAACTGTGTGTTGTGTGTGTTTGCTGTGTGCTGTGTGTGTTTTACTTGGGAGATATGCTACTTTGTATCTCTCCGCTGTGCAGAGAGATACAAAACAGCATGTCCATGCTGACAGGAGAGAGACCTGTGTTGCTTACACACAGGTCTCTCCCCTGTCAGCTTTCCTCGACGATCGCCAAGTGCATGTAGGGTAATCACCGGCCGGGACCCGGTGACTGACATCTCTAGCTGCCAATAGCGGCACATGTAGAGTGGCGCATGTTCGCCTGAAAATGAAAATCACATATATATACGTGATTTTGCGCAGCCCTGCCACCCTGTAGCAGTACATCTGCTATAAGGTGGAGGGCAAGTGGCTAACCAGTGCTCTGCTGGACACTGATAGAAGTCACAAGACTGCTCTAACTGCTGATGAGAAAAGGTATTTAGCAGTTTATATTTACTAAAACAATTGCATTTCCATATTGTGTGTACTGTGGGAGACCAGATATAGTGAATGCAGGGTCCTGGGAGACCAGATATAGGGAATGCTGGGTCTGGGGGAGACCAGATATAGTGAATGCAAGGTCTGGGGAGACCAGATATAGTGAATGCAGGATCTGGGGAGACCAGATATAGTGAATGCAGGGTCCGGAGAGACAAGATATAGTGAATGCAGGGTCCGGGGAGACCGGATATAGGAATGCAGGGTCCGGAGAGACCAGGTGAGCAGGGGCAGGGGCAGACTGACAACTCATGGGGCCCCCGGGCAATAGGGGATAATGGGGTCCCTGTGTCCTTGCCCAAACTCAAAAAAGCCTATGAGAAAAGGTACCAGGGGCATCTCATGGGGCCCCCTACTGACCCCGAGCCCTCGGGCAGTGCCCGAGTTTCCAAATGGTCAGTCCGCCCCTGATCCGGAGTGACCAGATATAGTGAATGCAGGGTCCTTGGAGACCAGATATAGTGAATGCAGGGTCTGGGGAGACCAGATATAGTGAATGCAGGGTCCGGGGATTAGTAACACTTTAACTAATTTAATAATTCACTCTCTTTGGGTGTTTTTTTTTTTTACTAAAGCTGCAAAATGTGGTGCAGTTCTGCACAGAAACCAATCAGCTTCCAGGTTTTATTGTCAAAGCTTCATTGTACAAGCATAAGTTAGAAGCTGATTGGCTACCATGCAGAGCTGCACCAGATTCTGAGTGCTCCAGTTTTAGTAAATCCCCCCCACGTGTCTACACACAAAATAAAAACGGCTGGGATTTAATGGTCATGTTATCTTTGGGTTGGTATCTTAGTTCCAGGGGCACATGCTGAACATAGATGATATTTTAGGAAATGTGGTTCTGGCCTTTTAGGAAGAAAAGAATTTGAAGGCAGTGAGATAGAGGAGTATTGTGAACTTGCGAATTAACATAAAGCTTTAAAGGCATAGTTCACCATAACCAAAAAACAAACTCTCGAGCTCTGAGTGAAGTTGAATAATGTCCTTACTATAGGTGTAGACCATTTACATACTTCCTGAAACCTGACTGAAAAAACTTCCAGAGATATCATCATCCCATCCTCACTGTTCACTTCTTTGCTCTTTCTCTGATTCAAATACCCTCTTGTGCACTGTCTCTTTCCTGATGCAGTTGCGTTGAGTTCAGCAGCTCACACCTGTGATGGTAGGGTGAACATTACAAGCTGGGAGTCTCTTAGCAACATCCTAGCAACAAGGCAGGATGGGATGATATCTCTGGAAGTTTTTCATCCAGGTTTCGGGAGGTACATAAATAGTCTACACCTATAGCAAGGACATTATTCAACTTTGGTCAAAGCTGCAGAGTTTCTTGTTATCCATTATCAGCCCTTACCTGCATAGGCAGCAATGGTGTGAGCAGCCTATTGCCTTAGAGTGTGCACCCCAAAGCTCAAACACACACACATATACTGTATATATATTCCACATATACTCACTCTGTCTTCTGCTCAGCTCACACGTGACACACCAGAATAAGGCAGGCCGGGTGCGATCTCAGAGGCTGGGTGCATCCCCATCCTACCCAGTGAAACTTAACTGCAGTGCTAGTAGAAAGCAACTTGGAGACAGATCCCCCTTGGGGATGTTTCTGCAGTCCTCCATGAGAGGCGGGAACACCTAAAACTGCTGGGGGAGATGGTAGGGGGAGGAGAGTCATCTCTATAATGTGCATGTCATCTAGGAATTATGGGTGACTAGGGTGTGCCTAGGCACACCTGACACACCCTGTACGCCTGCCTATGATAGACATTTTTTGGTATTGGTGATAGGCATCACCAAGCAAGTATTCACTAAATATGGGTCACTATATCTGCAGATAGATCTAGCATAAAGCTACTATATTTTTACCATAATTGTTACTGGCTAAAAGTTGAACTACAGCCTAATTTTTTTTTTTTTTGGGGGGGGGGGGGGGACTTGATGGGTTGAATGCATGTTAGAAGTGTCAGGTTTTTATTACTCTTTGTGTTGAACTGGAGAGATTTTCCCCCTCACTTCCTCCTTACAATGGTGTCATCAGGGCAGAAAGCAAGAGGAAATCTTTCCAACGAGTCTATAGAAAGCAGTATAAGCTTGAAGGAGCATCTATGTCTTCCCCCATTCTGTTGAAAACTAAGCAGAGGTTAGCTCTTGTTCACACTGATTCAACTGTTCATGTAACTTGATGCAACTTGTGACACATAAAAGGGAGAGAATGTCACTAGCACACCACAGATCTTCACAACGGGTTTAAAGCTTTATTCCATGATCACATCATTGTAGCAGAAGCAATGCATTGGAGCCATGCAAGACTCCTTCATCAGGCATAAGACATCTCACATGCCTGATGAAGGGGTCCTGCACGGCTCTAAATGTTGCTTCTGCTACAATGATGTGATCATGGAATAAAGCTTTGAACCCGTTCTGGCGATCTGTGGTGTGCTAGTGACATTCTCTCCCTTTTATGTGTCTCAAGTTGCATCAAGTGACCACTGAGTAAAGCTTTGCTTTGAACCCATTCTGGCGATCTGTGGTGTGCTAGTGACATTTTCTTACTTTTATGTGTCTCAAGTCACATCAAGTGACCACTGAGTAAAGCTTTGAACCCGTTCTGGCGATCTGTGGTGTGCTAGTGACATTTTCTTACTTTTATGTGTCTCAAGTCACATCAAGTGACCGCTGAATAAAGCTTTGAACCCGTTCTGGAGATCTGAGGTGTGCTAGTGACATTCTCTCATGTTTATGTGTCTCAAGTTGCATCAAGTGATGGGACCGCTGAATGAAGCTTTGAACCCGTTTTGGCGATCTGTGGTGTGCTAGTGACATTCTCTTACTTTTATGCGTCTCAAGTCAAATCAAGTGACTGCTGAATGAAGCTTTAAACCCGTTCTGGAGATCTGAGGTGTGCTAGTGACATTCTCTCATGTTTATGTGTCTCAAGTCGCATCAAGTGACCACTGAGCAGGGGCAAACTGACAACTCATGGGGCCCTCGGGCAATAGGGGATCATGGGGCCCCTGTGTCCTCGCCCACACTTAAACCACACCCAAAAAGCCTATAAAAAGGTATTAGAGACATCTCATGGAGCCCCCTACTGACCCTGGGCCCTTGGGCAGTGCCCGAGTGCCTAAATGGTCAGTCCGCCCCCGGCAGACACCTTGAGATTTTGAAGGTAGAAATTGTTCAAATTAGCCCAGAAGGATTTAGTGACAGAGATGCCATACTTTTCCTTTTCCTGCTCTTTTTAGGGTTAAACTAGATATCAGGTAGGATTTCAACTTAGCTTGCAGAAAAGATTCCCACATACAGAGCCATTTTACTGAAACAAAATACACCAAATTAAATACTGTATATAATGCATAGATATATATCTTTGCTCATCACAATAAGATCCTTTAAAGTGTACGAGGTGGTATCAAAAGGTTCCAAGACTAGTTTTGTAACACGCCAACAGATGGCAGCACAAGACTGCACGCACAGTCACAGGAAGCATCAACCTTCATAAGTCAGTGTGCCAAAAGACATCATCCTGTGTACATCGGGAGCTGGTACTATTCTGACCATGTGTGTTACCACGTCTGCTATTTCATCATGGACAGCAAGTTAGAACAAAGAGCAAGTGTGAAATTCTGCGTGAAACTGGGCAAATCTGCCATTGAGACATTTGACATGATTTGGCAAGTTTACGGCGATGCTGCAATGAGCCGTTTGAGGTGTTTTGAGTGGCACGTGTGCTTTAAGAGTGGAAGAACATCACTGGAAGACGACATGAGATCAGGAAGACCTTTAACGAGATCAATCTCCGAAAATGTTGAATTGTTGAAACCATTCAGTAACTTGTGCATGATGATCATCGGAGAACAATCCACAACATTGCTTCCATGGTCGGTTTGTCATACGGAACAGTCCAGGTGATCCTCATGTGTGATTTGAACATGCGCCATGTTGATGCCAAGTTCGTCCCCAGGCTGCAATGATTTCACTTCCGCGCCCACCCTACTCACCAGATTTGGCTCCTGCGGACTTCTCCCTTTTCCCAAATATGAAGATCCAGCTCAAAGGTTGCCATTTTGACAACACTGCAGAGATCCAGTGTAAATAGCAGAAGGCGCTTGATACGCTTCGAAAATAAAGCTTCTCAGGACACATTCCAGAAGTGGCAGGAATCCTGGGAGTGCTGTATTGCTGTGCAAGGGGACTATTGTGAAGGTGATAGTGTGTAGGTGTAGATAAAAAAAAGTACTTTCTTGTAAACAGAGATAGTCTCAAAACTTTTTTGATACCACCTCATATGCCAAACCAAAACAGTTTTTATTAATTTTGGAATAATGCTGGGAAGGGTTAGAACCCCACTCAGGTTTTTACTGGTATCTGAATGAACATTGAAAATATCTTATGACTTCTTATCCAGCTTACAACTTTTTTACCAGACAGTAAGTGAGAGGAACTCCACAAAATAAAAAAAAAGTGTTTCTTTAGTAGAGACATGGAAGCCTAGAACCCTATCAGACACATATAGGTATATAGCTCTCCACCCTCTCCACATCTGTGAACACTAATTACTGTATATTAAATGTGCTAAATTAAATACTGCAAAATGCTACTTGTATAAAGACCATGGATATAAACCAATGATGTTACATTGTTAGAATAGTATATGAATATATTTTTTTATTGGGGTAATATAGAAGTATCACTTTACAGTATTTGTTTAACACTTTTCATATAATTCATATAATTATAATGTATATAATGTATTTAGATAGGGAGGGGAAATGCTATATATCTACTTTTTGTTGGGTTTGTTTTAGCATTTCTGATCATCTGTCAGCTGCCAATAATAGGAAGGTTTGGGGATTGTGGCATAAAAAGTACAGAGTATTGTGAATTACAGATTTTGATTCCATGCCCCTATTGCAAACGTCCCCCACACTTCCTTTCTGGTGAAACTGTTGTCAGCAGGACAGGTAGTGATGGTAAATCCCTCTAACAATACACCAGATAGTAAAAAACAACAGGCGTTGTAATCCCCCCCCTTCCCCACCGCACTCTGTTAAAAAAACTAGTAAAAGAGTTTGTCTTGATTAGGGATGGGATTCAAGTTTGTGACCATAAAGTGTTTGGTGAAAAATTTAGATGTTCTCAGTTTGTTGTAAGGGTGAATTAAATTGCCAGCTCACCTGTCCACTGAACTTCTGGCTGCTGCAACCAGAAGTAATTAATATAGAGGTGGTAGTGATATAGCCAGAAAATGAATGACTTCCCGTTCTTTGGTTGTTAGGACACTGGCAGCCACCTGCATCCTAGCAACCAAGGATACTGTGCAGATCAGGCACCTGCATCCTAGCAACTGATGATGTCATTGGTTTCTAATACGCTGCAGCCACACAGTTTTTTTTTTTTGTTACGATGCACCATAACAACCAATGACACTGTGCAACAACTGTACTCCATGGCAGTACCCAGCTACCCATGCCATTTTCTTCCAAAAGCTTAAAAACT